TTTAGTAAACAACTTTCCTCAGGTGTTTTTCTGGTTTATTATTTCTGTGTAGCCACAGCAACAGAACTAGCCCCATGTCTCTCAATCAGGGAGGTCCCCAGCCAGCTTTGGAAAGACACCCATCAAAAAGAGCGAGCAAACCTAAAGAAGGGTTCAATAGGGAAGATACCAGCGGCCGACTGCAGAGAGGCTCCATTCCTCTGACCCTCAATCACTTCCCAGGAAGCATGCAGAGGAGCCTGGGTGCGCCAGAAACAACCTTTCATAATACGAGATGGACGGGAAAGAGGCCAAGGGCAGGCAGTTCCCAATCTACAAAAGGGCAAGAAGGTGGAGTCCATACTTCTTTCTTGTCTTTTTTTGAGACAGGGTCTGGCTCCATCACCCAGGCTGGAGCACAGTGGCACTATCTCAGCTCACTGCAACCTCTGCCTCCTGGGCTCCAGCAATCCTCCCACCTCAACCCTCTGAGTAGCTGAGGCTACAGATGCACACCACCATACCCAGCTAATTTTTGTATTTTTTGTAGACAGGATTTTGCCATATTGCCCAAGCTGGTCTCGGACTCCTGAGCTCAAGCAATCAGCCCACCTCAGCCTCCCAAAGTGCTGGGATTACAGGCATGAGCCACTGTAACAGGCCGAGTCCACACTTCTAAGCTTGCTGTTGCTCTCAGACTTGCAGACCAGCCTATGAAACAGAAGTAGGTAAGAGCTGAGAAAGGGAAGTGGCCACGACAGAACCAGTTCTGCTGAGAACGAGGACTCGAGTCAGGCTATGCTACCTTCCTTCCATGGCCATGGGAAAAACGGGTGGGTGCTGTTGGCGTGAAAGATCTGGATCTTAACAGATCAGACTTAAACTAATTTGCTCATGATGAAGGTGTGGATTTGGAGGGACCTGGGAATCTCACAGACCTACAGGATGTCCCAGCGATATGTCCTGGGCTTCCTACCAGCCCTGCCCTGCCTGACAAGTTGGATGAAAACTGATAAAGGACTAGTCATAGCTTCAGATGGCAAAATCAGGCCAAGCCAGAATGAAAAAAGAGAAGGAATTTAACATGGGCACATGCCAAGCTCTGCATTTAACCAAGGCTGCTTGGCATGAACAAAATTGAGACAGAACAACGCATGGAGAAAAGGTCTGGGCATTTGTGGGCCACAAGCTTGCCATGACACGAACGCAAATGTCAGTGGGTACACCCCCAAATGCCTGTGACTCCCTCTGGTGGTTTCTGTGCACAACTTCGCCCAAAATAGGCCCTACAACTCCATGGGGAGACCTACCCTGGGGCTTCTAGAGCTTCCTAGCCTGCGTGCCAGAGAGCAGAAGTGCCTGGAGGCTACATCTCCACCCCTGGGTAGTCCTTACTCTGAGGTGGGACTGCACCCAGGGCTCCCCTTTAGGGTCTGGCTTGGACTGAAATCACACCCTGCCTTGCCTTCTGTCCCTCCCCTAATTTGCTCTCCCCTCCCTGGTAACTCCAGCATCCTCATCTCAGCAGAAGCTTCTGGAGAACCCAACCCAAGATGAGTGGTGAGGGCTGGGGTAGCCCTCCTCCTCAATGTACTCTGGGAACTAAATTTTCAGAGGCCTCTTTCAGAAGGCACAAGTCCCAGGCAGGGTGCAAAGCTGTGGGCGAAGAACCTGGAAAGAGGCTCTGAACAAGGAACTTTTAAGGAAGTGGGATGTGGGCTTTGATCACAGCCAAGCTAGCAAGGTAACAGCTGGCCCCTGAATGTGGCTATGAGAGGGGTGCCCAACACTACCAGCCTGGGTGCTGAGCACTAACTCAGTGCCAGGCACTACCTGGGTTACTCTATTTAATAATCTCCACACCAAGCATGTGAAGGAGGCACCATCGTCATCCCCATCTTACAGATGAGGAAGATCATCAAGGCTTGCAACTTGCCCAAGATCACATGACTATAGGTGTGGACCCAGATTCAAACTCCAGCTTTAGCCCACTAAGCTACAGTGGCCAACCCCAGCCCAAAGTGTTAGGACCTGTGTGCAGGAGACCCCTTCAGCTCTCGTAAAGTCAGGATCTAACATGTCTAGGGGGATGGAGACCCAATCCAGGTGACACAGGAGGTAAGATCACAGTGGAACAGGCCATCCCTGCTTTTCCACCACCACCAGCACTGTGACCTCAGGCCAGCTGTACTCTACAAGTTTCTTGTGAGAGTGATGGCAGCCTGGGGCCAGACAAGGGATGCATGTCTTGTGTCCTGGACACAAGACAGGCATGCCCAGAGGTGATAAGCTCCAGGAAGCCAGGCCTCAGCTGCCGGAGGTCCCGAATGCCACAGAAGGAGAGCAGGTGGGCAGAAGTGGGGATCCCCTGGAGAAGACAGAGGGGGGATTCCTGCTGAGACAAGGGGCTCTAGAACTCTGGGGTTTATGCTCCAAAAAACAGAATTTACCACGACAAAGCAAACAAGATCAGCCAGGACCGATGCCCCATCCCTGCTAGGGTCTGGCAAAGCTCTGACCTCTGAATTTGTATCTATTTTGAATTCAAATCCAAACACATCAACAGTGAACTCCAATGCCTCCCACAGCAGGGCCTGAAAGGGACCCAGAAACTCTGGCCAGAAATCTAGAGTCCAAGGGGAGGAAATCTGTAAACTAAACCACTGGCCATGCTCTGGGGCCCTAAACCACTGCAGGTATCAGGCCTGTCCCAGGAGAGGTCACAGCAAGTGGGGATGGGAGGGGTCTCCAGTTCCAGTCAGAAATGAGGCTACAGTCACTCCCGGTAGACCTGTCAGCAGCAGCTGTGCAACCGGGCTAGGGAGACAAAGATCGTGGTTTAACCAGGAGAGTGGTCTGGGGCCCCAGCCAAGACACAGGTGTTGGATTCCAGCACCGCCCTGCAAATATTCATCTCAGTGATGATGAGGTGAATGGGAGCTTGACTGAGCCCAGCCCGGCTGCCATCCTGGAGACCTGGGGCAACATGGAGGTAGCACAGAGTGGTACCCAGCCAGCGTGAACGTATGAGAATCTGCATGTGACAGAGAAGAAAGTCTCATGAAATGGGTTTCACTGGTCCCAGCCAAACCCTGTGGCATGTGGCCCTTTCTGCACCTGCTGAACATGCCATCACCTTGTTCCAGGTAGTGGCCTCATCCTCCTCCTGCTCAAATGGGAAACCTCAGCATCCTGAAATGCCTCCTCCCCAAGTCCACTGCACACGTGTGCCTGTGTATGTGTGCGCGCACACATGTACGAACTCAGTTCCCAGCTGCCCACTCCATTGCTCCTAAACAGGCCCCTCCTTGGCGTCCCCCAGCACATACTCCTGGGCTCCTGCCTCCCACCTCTTCTGCACCCTGCTCTTCTCCACTGGAAGCCAAATGGATATTTCTAAAGTGAAATCTGGTAACCCCCAACCCCTTCCACAGTTCCCTAAAGTTCCTTTCCTCAGTTACACCAGGATCTTCACAATGGGGACCCCTGGTCACCTCCCAACCCAACAAACACCCCAAATGAGCTGCCACTGGAGAAACTCACCATGGCCCTGGCAGGACTGGCACATCCAAGTATCTGACCAGGCTGTAGCATCTGCCGGGCAGGTCCTGCCCTCCCTCCACCCATGTGGCCCCAACAGGCTGGGGTTTCTGGAGACTCCATGGGGAGCCATGCATGAAATGGCATATACCCATGTGTCACTCCCCAGAACGTGAGCTGCCTGCTCTGGCACCATACACAAAGGAACTGACAGCCCCAGAATCCCAAGAAGGGGTGCACCTATGCATACGGGAAAGGCACATTTACAGGTAAGAATGGTCCATCGTGGGGCCTCAGGAGGCATCTGACCTGACGCACACCTTTCTCACTTTGTCCTTGTGGCCTGTGGAAATGCCACTCTTGCTTTACAAATTCACCCACCGTTGCATGAGTCATTTCCACCTCAGTGAGTACCAAGTCTTTGAGGATGGGGAAATGTAAGCCACCAGTTTCGGGGTTCTGGGCTTCTAGGTGCAGAAGAAGCCCCAAAAATAAGCCAGATCATGGGCCATGACCCCACACTAGCCCTTTGGTCCCTCGCAAGGGTGGATTGGGGGGCTGTGTCCCGGGAACTTAGGATCTTCAAGACCAAGACCCAGAACAAGAACACAAGCCCACTCCCGTTCTTCATAGGCCTTGGGAAATCTTTGGGCAACGAAGTCAGACTGTGCCAAACCCGTGTTTCTGTCTCTCCAAGGCCCCTGGCCCCCACTGCCTAGCCTAGGTCAGGTCATGTGGGCAAGCGAGCCCCCACAACCTCACAGCCCCTACCCCGGGGCCAGGGCAAAGCTCCTTCCCTGTCCCCCTCCATTCCTGTGCTCCCTCCTTCCACGAATTACATCAGTTGGGGAAAAATCCTTAAGCTGACAGAATGAGGTGAAAATAGTGCAATTCTAGGCTTTGCAACTGATTTTAGGGCAGGTGGCCAGCCATTCTCCCCTTCCTCAGGACAACCTCTGACACAATGACCCTGGAAGCCTGGCAGCCTTCCGTAATGGTCAGCATCCTCCCCTGCCATCCACAACCCACACCATGAGCTCAGCCAGGGCAGCGGCAGCCTCTGTCTCATTCACCACAGATCCACAGAACCCAGCACAGAGTATGGGCTCAGTAAATTCTCCTTGTACATGACTGCACTGACTGGACCGGGCACATGCTACAGGGAAACACCCCAGGCTCAGCCAGCCCTGGCTTTGAATCTCAGTCCCACCTCTTCAAGCTGTCCAGTGTGGGCCACAACGGCTACAGCCTTGCCAAATGTCTGTCATTTCATCTGTAAACCAGGATGAAGAGGTGAAGACAGGACAAGCACAGTATGTGGTACACAGGAGGCCTCTGATAACATCAGTCCCCTTCCCTAAAGACCCGGGCAGTCCCTGTCACTGGGGCCTCACACTTCATGTCGAGAATTCACTATTTCTCAGCACTGCTTTCAAATAAAGCCAAGAGTCTGAGGAGGCAACATGGCAGAGTTCTGAGGGTGGAGTGAACAAAAGGTCATTTTTTACAGAAAACTCAGGATCTCCCCTCTGCACAGTGCTAAAGCCCTGTCTCAAAGTTCAGAACCCACAAGGTGCAGAGATGTGGCCCTTGGAAATCAAGCCCTTAAGAAAACAGCCCAGCTGTGTGGGGCAGGAAGCCCCAGGCTGCAGTCCTGTGGTCCGGAGGCAGCCGATATTCAGGTGAGAGATGTGCCCAGCTGCTGGTGGGTCCAGGGGGCACGGAGCCCCCATCATCCCTGGCCCAGGTCTAGGACAAAGTCAGTGGGCCCAGGCCAGCTCCAAGGGCCACAGCTCCTCACTCGGGGGCCGCACTGGAGCAGCCACAGCAGCTGGGGCGCCGCAGGGACTGCATGACAGCCCGCAGTGGTCCCCTCCGGCCCTCCACAGACAGGCTGTCCTCGCTGGTGGGCGCTCGCTGCAGCTGCTCAAACTGCATCTCCAGGTGCTTCTGGATAGCCACACCGAGTACCTCTGGGTCCACCGCAGCTCCATACACCTCCCATGTCATGCCCTCAGCATCCCATCGCACATCCCGCACAGGGGACGGCGTCTCCTCCAGGCTGGACCCCAGTGTTACCTCTGGGAACACATGCAGGGATGCAGGCGCTTCCAGGGACGGACTGGTGGCCACAGCCTTGCAGGCCGCCACTGGGGCCGCCTGCACACCAGCATCCTGGGCTGACAGCAGGGATGCCTCTGCAGGAGCCAAGTCATTGGCTGAGGTCATGGTCCACACATCTTTGGTCCTAGAGCCAGGCTCTGGGACTAACCCGGTGGGACCCCAAGGGTGGGCACAGCAATGGGAGTGCCCAGGGAGCCCCCCAGACAACCTACAGTGGATCTTCACCCCATGCTGAGCCTGCAGCCCAGACTCGCTCACTGACGCCACTAGTTTGGGAAAGGCCAGGATCCCTGTGGCAGGTAGGGCATGGCAGCAGCCACCAGCTCCCACCTCCTTCATGCCACAGAGTAGAGCAGCTGGGGGCAGAGCATGGCAGGCGGTGGTAGCCAGCTGTTCAGCGGCTTTGGGCTCAGCCTGGGCACTGCTGCTGTGGGCAGTTGTGTCCCCCAGGTCTAGTGGTGGCACTGACAACTGACTCGCCCCCAGCATCCAGGCTGAGTTAGAAGTCCCATCCTCAGGAGCCAGGTCCTTTTCCAGGCCTGCAAGGGCCTGGCCACCCTGACCAGAAGTACCACCCGGCTGCAGCTGAGCTCTGTGGACAGGGCTGCTGCCAAGGGCTGAGCAGCTGAGACTGGCCTTCCGAGCACCACTGTGTCCCCGCATCTGGGTGCTACGGACCAGGTCCGAATGGCTCCTCTGCATAGCAGCAGCACTGGGGGCCCGCAGGCGACACAGGTCACCGCCACCCATGGTGGACACATTGCCCACAGTGCTGCTCCGCCAGTGGCCTCCAGCACTGGGTAGTGCCTCGGGGCCAGAGGCCCGCGCCAGCTCCATGCTCTCAGGCAGGTTCCCCTCTTCCTCCGGGGCCTGGGGTCTGGTGCTGGCCTCGCCCAGCTGGGTCTGCCACACGGTGCTGCTGGCACTCTTGCGGAGCTCTGGCCTCTGTTCCTGGCCTTCACCCAGCAGGCTGGAAGAGCTCTGGGACAGGGGCTGAAGGCCGGGGCTCAGGGGTGCCCAGGGACCCGGCTCAGGGCGGCTGGAGCTCATGGCTGCCTGCAGAAGAGAGAAAGGGAGGGAGTGGAGTTGAGTTGGGTGGCAGCACCTAAGCCGGTTCTACTGTGAGCTCCCACAGTGCTGGATTCACCAGGGAGCCAGCTTCAGTCCCAGCCTGCCTGACTGGTACTTGCATACTGTTGTACACAAGGCAGTGACAAGACACCAGACACTTCAAATCAAGGTCATCTCACATTAGACACAAGGATGACACTGCAAATTATCTCATCATCGTCCCAAGCAGTTAGAATCTGCCCTTGGGTGGGGTCCTGGAGGCCGCCACTCTATCCGCTCTGGACTCTTTACTGGCTGGCTTGTGTGGGAGGCGAAGGAGGAGGGCCAAGTCTGCTGGGGCTTTGAGAGCGAAACTGCAGTCCTAGGGGGCGGGGCTGTGGGATAACAGCTATTAGTCAACCAGTACGGAAGTACTATGTCCTCTTAACGGGCACAGCTGGACAGTCTAACATTGGGCTACTTCCTCCTGGGACTGGCAGTATCCAACTCACTGTGGACAGGGTCTCCTTGGTACAGAGTGGGAGCTCAGAGAAAGTTCACGGGATGAGGGAGCAATGACTAGAGGACGCTGAGAATCACCCTGGGCTTCCCCAACCACCCCCATCCTCCCTAGCCTAGCCTGGCTGAGCTGGCATGTCTCTAGGGTTCCGTGACTCCCACCTCCAGCTCCAGGGGCAGGGAGAGGCCCCACGCGTCAGCTTTTTCCATGAGGGACTCATTCAGCATCTGGCCATTGATTCCACAGCCATCTCCTGAGCCCCTACTGCGTCCCCAGCTGTAGGGCTAGGGAACATGGGATTCATTCAGACCTTTTTGTACTCCTGGGGATAGTGCAGCAGTGAGATAAGATGACCACCCAGTACCACCAATCAGACCTACCCTGCATGACATTTAACCCCCTCTTGCCCAGTGTACCTGCATCCTCATTGTCCCCCAGCCTCCCTGTCATCACTGTCACTTCCCCCAGCCATAAAGACTACCCTGGCCCCTGACCCAGCTGCAGCCTAGAGCAGCTCTGACCCTCTCCACCTCAGCGTCTCTTCCTGGGGCCCCTTTCCTGACTCTCCAGCCAGGCAGCCTTCATCCCAGACCAAGCACTGGGCCTGGATGGAACAGTTTGGCCAACTGTCAGCCTCCCCACCAGCCTGAAGTTGGCAAAGCCTGGCCTGAGGCCTGCTCCCCTCTGGCTGTCCAACACCCAGCACTGACCTGACATGTAGTTGGCACTCAGAGAATATCTCCTGTGTGCCTAACCAAGAGAACAAGCAAATATAAGAACACACCCACAGAGGAGGGCGCTGAGTGCCAAAAATGGGGTCTGAGGGAGGGCCCCGCCAAGGCAGGAGAGCTCACTTAGGGTGAGAGATGAGAAAAGGCTTCCCGGAGGACCAGCCACATAAGTCAGGCCTGGAGTGAGAGAAGCAAGAACGTGTTCAGGTGGAGAGTGGGGTGGGCAGGAGGAAAGAGGCATGAGGGGAGCAGTGGGGTCAAAGTGTCTGGGTCACCTCGGCCCTGGCCACAGCAGTGAATTAGGAAGAGCACTCTGGGACTCCTTGACAGGCAGGAGAGGCTGGAGAAACAGGGTGGGGACAGGAGGCAGCAGCTGCATTTGTGCAATCCCAGTCCTGCCCTCCCACCCTAAGCTGATAAGGACTGCCAGGAAACAACCTCCCTGGCCAGGTGAGCAAGGCTACCCAAGAGGAAATTCGGGAAGGGCTGTGGGACTCGGTTTCTGTATAAGTACAAATATCTTGGCAGCCCAGCACTCAGGAGACGGCTGGTGGCTGTTGAGCCACAGTGAGGATGATACTGGTGCTATAGTCCCTGAGACTCCAGCGCCGCACAACTTCCTGTGATGATGGAAAGATTCTACCCTGTGCTGTCTTAATAGGTAGGTACCAATGGCATGTGGGTACCAAGCACTTGGCAGGGGGTCACTGCAACTGAGACACTGAATGTTTAAGTTTTATTTGGATCTAACTGGCCACATGAGGCTAATGGCTACTGTACTGGACTGTGCAGCTCTGAACACAGCCTCAGCCTGGTAAGGATGTCCCATCCCAGCTGCTTCATGGGGCTGAAACCAGACTTGTCCCTGGGAGGATCAGGAAGAGGAGGAGTGGCCAAGAGAGGGTTCTGACCCAGACCCTGCCCTCAATGAGCTCTAAGATGGACATACAAACAAAGGAGGGCAATAAAACAGCGATGGTAATAACAGCTGTCAGGGCCTGATCACTCGCCAAGGGCCAGGCATGTGCCACATCCTTTGCACACATTGTCTCATGTAACTGTGCAAGCAACCTCTTGAGACAGTCATTATCTCCATTCTACAGACAGGAGAATTCCATAAGCTCAGAGAGGCTTAGTGACCCCCAAGGGCACACAGCTCGGGGACATCTGAGCTCCTCTCCCCTTCGAGCACTGAGCAGGCCTGTGCCTCACAGCTCTCGACCTTTTTACTGATCTGGCCTGGCCCTGCCAATCGTGCTCATGACATGCCATGGAACAAGTCACTGAGTGGATCCCCACCTGCCCAACTGCTTCTTAGCAGCTCCTGAGGCTGCAAGAATGAGGAGGGCAGGAGGTGTTCCTCCTGACTGGGACAGCCCCTGGCAGGGAGAAAACCACTCATTTGCAGGTCCAAGACCCCAGGGAAGGCCCATCTGGACACCTACACAGCTTCTGGCCAAACCCCACCACCGTCCCAGGGAGGGGGCCACAAACAGCCAGGCCAGCAGCCTCTGGCCCCTGAGGAGACAGGTGGAATGAGGTCCTCAGACCCCCACCAAGACCCATTGAGAAGCCATCAGCAACGAGCATCCCACTATGCCTGTCTCACCAGAGGGCTGCCCAGCACCCAGGGCTAGTCACCACCCAGAGAGCCCCGTGGTGGGCTATGGATCTACTGGTTCCCTTCCCCCTTCCCCCTCCACAAGTGGCAGGTGACAAAACTGAGGCCTGGAGAAGCTCAGAAATGTCAAAGAACACACAGCTGAAAGTTGCTAATTCAGAACCCCAAGAAACTGACCTGGCCAACTACAACCTGGCCTTCCCAGCTCAGAAGGAAGGGCTCTGAGGGGAGTACTGCGGGAAAGAGGCTTCCATACTGCCTGTCACAATGCTGTGTACTAGGCCAGAGGAGGGGCCTCCCAGGGAGCCAGGTGTGAGGAGGAAGGGGCAGGGCTCTGCTTCCAATGGCGGCTCTTCCCCTTCCTGTGCATGTGCTCACAGGTGGACCCCTAACTTCTTTGAGCCTCAGTTTCTCTAATCTGCAAAACAGAAGTAAATCCCCAACCTGCAGGGTTGTTGTGAAGACTAAATGTGACAGCATGTGCACTGTCTGCAACAGTGTTTGTTAACAATAATCTTCTCTCTCCTCTCCCATCAAGAGCAGCTTAAGTTCACGGTATAACAAGTAATAGTACTGGGGGGCAGACAGGCCCTTTTCAGAAGCCATCGAGACACCCCATAGGTTAGCCTCATCTTGCTTCCCATCCTCGCTACCTTCATCCCATCCTAGAATCAAGTCACCATCAGTGTCCCCAGTCTCCCTATTACCAAAGTAGGTTTCCCAGAGCCTATTTTAAATCTTAACCTAGGAGGCTACGCATGCATACAAGTCTAGAGTCTGCACTTTAAATGCCCAGAATGGCATGCCCACCCTGCCTTTATAACCATGCAGAAGGTTCTGGTTTTGCCCTAATGGGACCCTGGGAAGATCTTTTAGGATGAGATAAAGAAGAGGCATACAGAAGTATCTAAGACCTCTAGTGTTCTTTGAACAATACCTTAATGTTCTCTCTCCTGTCCCATTTGATGCCGAAGTTGCTATGGCTGTGGCCAACGTCCCGTGGCCAATGCCAGGCTGTCCTGCTGCCTCAGGTTCCACGTGTCGGCAACTGGAAGATCAACCACCTATGTAGCAATCAACCAATGTCATTTTGAGTAAAAAGCCCCCACTTCTCAGACACTTCCAGACTAGCCCAAACATAGAAACCGTTGGGTCAACTTAGAGAGTCCAGCTCCCGCGATGCTGCCCCAGCAGAGGACCCCAGGCCTTTGGGATATGCCCAGGGGGACTACCAAGACCACCACAAGTGGACTCCATCTCAGACGACACTATGGCATCCATCTAAGTCCCCTCTTGGTTTTGTTTATTTGTTTGTTTGTGAGACAGTCTTGCTCTGTCTCCCAGGATGGTGTGCAATGGCTCAGTCTCCGCTCACTGCAACTTCTGCCTCCTGGGTTCACGCGATTCTCCCGCCTTAGTCTCCCGGCAGCTGGGATTACAGGCGAGCACCACCGCGCCCAGTTAATTTTTGTATTTTTAGTAGAGATGGGGTTTTTGCCATGTTGGCCAGGCTGGTCTCGAACTCCTGATCCCAGATAATCCGCCTGCCTCGGCCTCCCAAAGTGCTGGGATTATAGGCGTGAGCCACAGCGCCTGGCCCAAGTCCTCTCTTGTTAAGTGGCAAGCGTTTGGATGATGACTTATGTGTCCAGCAAAACCAAAATAGAAAAAGCAAACCTATACAGTCAGGCAGGAAAACTGGTTCTATGTTAAAATATGGACCTTACCTCTCAGGGACCAGGCAGGAATGCACACAACACAAACCCCCCATTGCACAGTGGGGATACAGCACCCTCCAGGAGGTGGTTTAATCTACCCCAGAGTGAACGGCGCCTGATAGGAACACTCAGGGCCAACCCTGGGCAACGCAGCAGGCAGCATTCCTAAATGGAGGGTTTGGAGGAGACAAAACCTGCCCTTCACAATGAACGTGCCTTAAGGGCTACATGCCCCCGGTCACAAGCTGTGCCAGCAAAGGGTTCTGGGGTAACAGTGGGGTCAGTGACCCCATGGATGAGGCTCTGCTCACCAGGAAGAGGCCTAGACGCCCAACATTCCTCCCCTGGGGAGGATTTGCCCACACTCCCTGGGGGGCAGCGAGGTGGAGAAGGTGCCTCAGCCTAGAAGCAGCCTAGGCGGCCGGTGTGTCCCCATCTGCAGGCTCACAAGCAGTTACGCCCCAGCCTGGGACACACAGGCCCGTTTGCAGTAACAGCGCCTACCCAGTTGCACTCTGCACGCCAAGCACAGGCTGCCCCTGCTGTGGGGCCAAAGGCCTGAACGCACCGCACCACGCAGCCTCGCCCAGCACAGCTCCCTTCCCGCCCCTGCTGCACAAAGCCCACCCGGACTTAGGGAGAAGGAGGCTCAATACGGGCCCGAAACGAGGCTACAGACCTTCTCAGAAGCAAAGGCAGCCACTGCAGGCAAATGGGGCTGTGGGCCGGGGTAAGGATGCGGGGCAGGAGGAGCCAAAGGGCAGCAAGGCTGGGGGCGGGGTAGGCGGCGCAGGAGGCTGAAGGAAGGGAAGAGGAAGAAGGGGAGAGGGAGGAGCGATGGCAGCAGGGGTGGAGGCCGAAGGAGACAGGGTCCCGGACAGACTTGTGAAAAATGGGAGGATGGGCAGAGGAAACGTGAAAGAGGGAACAAGACAGGGCAGGACAATGAGAGGCGGAGAGCGGGGAGTGCGACGCGGTCACCGGTGGCTCTGCGCGCTGGGCAGGGGCCAGGATGCCGGGGGTCTGAGCGCAGGAGCAGGGAGGAGTGGGTTCTACGGCTCAGCAAGGGGGAGGTGCGGCCCACCACGCCCCCCGCCCCCACGGGCGCGCGCGGAGCCGGCCTCTCACCCTCTCGCCCGCCGGGGCCGCGCAGGCCGAGGGAAGCGCTGCTCATGTGGCCGCCACAGGTGCCAGGTGCCGCGGCCCAAGATGGAGCCGGAGCCGACCCGGCCTGGGCCCGAGACGCCGCCCGCCGCCGTCGGCCTGGCCCGCGGAGCCAGCGCCGGGTACAGGGAGGGGCCAGCGGGGCCGCCGGCACCGGGGCGGCGGGAGGGGCGGCGGGCGGAGACCTCGCTCACCTGGGCCCGCCCCGCTCCGGAACCCGCCCCCGCCCCGCTGCGCCCCGGGACCTGCGTCCGCGCGCCCCCACTCCTCCTTCCCGACCCCTCCTCAGGCCGGGTCCCCACTGTCCTCGATCTTTTCGGCCCCGCGCGCAGCACGACCGCCTGTTCTCCAGGCTGCCCGGCTAACCCCCAACACTCTCACTTCCCCGACGCAACCCCACCGTCCCGGGTGTAAAGGCGCAGCTCCCCACAATCCTCCAGCCCCAGACCCAGCCCCCCAAGTCCACCTCGTCGTAGCCCCGCCCCCTCGCTCCAGTTCCCTTTCCGCACCACGCCCCGCATTGAGATCTCCGCGCCGGTGGCTACCCCTTTCCTCTCGCCTTCGCCATCCCAGCCCCGCCTCTCACAATTATCTGGCTCCCGATCCCGCCCACGAGACCCCCTTCCTATAGGGCCCTTTCCTTTAGGATACCAGGCCTGGTCTCAATTTTCCAGCCCCAGGTCAGAAATCGTGGACTCACAGTCCCATCCTCCGAGCTCCACCCTCACGGACCCCAAACCTCACTCCAGTCCTTTGAGCTCCATGATTCTGGCCTGACCTGTCCCCCGGAGCTCTCCACCGTCCCCCAAGAGCCCAGCCTTGATAGACTCCTTCCCCAGGGTTGCATCTCCAGCCCCGCCCCTGAAGACCAGTAATCTACTACCCCTTTCCCCGCCCACGTGCCGCTACCCAGCCCAACTTGAGGCCATCAGTCTCCCTGCCGCGCACTCCAACAGCGGGCGAGGGCAGTGACCATGCGGGGATGAGCCACCTCCACCTGAGCCCGCCTTCTTCCCTGCAATTCCCCGCAGCGCCGCCGCGCCTTTCCGGTCCCACGACGCGGGGAGCCAGTCCAGGCCCTGGGATCGCCAGGTTCCACACTATGAGGCTGAGGACCTGGGCGTACCGTTCCCTCAACGTCCCCCAGTTTCCACAACCGCTGGCCAGCTTCAGGGCGCAGGGACAGGCAGCCCCGGCCTCCCTCCACCTGCAAGGGATTCCTGCTGTCCACCCAGGGCCTCATGGTATGAGGTACTGTACTATCTCTGGGCTCCAGTTTGGGTCGCAGTGAGAGGTAACAGCGTGCTGGCAGCACTCGGAGCCCTCACTCGCTGTCGGCGCCTCCTCAGCCTCGGCGCCCACTTTGGCCGACCTTGAGAAGTCCTTCAGCCCGCCGCTTCACTGTGGGAGCCCCTCTCTGGGCTGGTGGAGGCCAGAAACGGCTCCCTCTGCTTGCGAGGAGGTGTAGCGGGAGAAGCGCTGGCGGGAACCGGGGCCACTCGCGGCGCTCCCTGGCCAGCGCGAGTTCTGGGTGGGTGTGGCTCGGGGGACCAGGTGCGCCGGGTCCCCCAGCAGTGCCTGCCCGCTGGCGCTGCGCTCGAATTCTGGCTGGGCCTCAGTTGCCTCCCCGCAGGGCAGGGCTCGGGACCTGCAGCCCGCCATGCCCGAGCCTCCCCACCGCTGTGGGCTCCTGCGTGGCCCACGCCTTCCCCCCTGGTCTGCGACGCCAGGTCCCATCAACCGCCCAAGGACTGACGAGTGCAGGTGCATGGCGCGGGACTGGCGGGCAGCTATGCCTGCAGTGGGAGGGCAGGATCCACTAGGTGAAGCCAGCTAGGCTCCTGAGTCCGGTGGGGACTTGGAGAACTTTTGTGTCTAGCCGGAGGATTGTAAAGGCACCAATCAGCACTCTGTGTCTAGCTCAAGGTTTGCAAGCGCACCAATCAGCACCCTGTCAAAACAGACCAATCAGCTCTCTGTAAGATGGACCAATCAGCAGGATGTGGGTGGGGTCAGATAAGGTAATAAAAGCAGGCTGCCCAAATCTGCGGGGGTCCCTGTCAATCCGCTGTGCCCTTCTCAGTGCTGTGGAAGGTTTGTTCTCTTGCTCTTTGTGATAAATCTTGTTGTTGCTCACTGTATGAGTGCATGTGGCCATTAAGAGCTGTAACTCTGACCGCGGAGGTCTGTAGCTTCACTCCTGAAGTCAGCCAGACCACGAACCCACAAGGAAGAAAGTCCGGACACGTCTGAACATCAGAAGGAACAAACTCGGGACACACCATCTTTAAGAACTAACACTGCGAGAGTTCGTGACTTCATTCTTGAAGTCAGCGAGACCAAGAACCCAGCAACTCCGGACCCACCAGTGTTGGCACTTCTCTGTTGTACGCTATCCCAGGACCCCTAACTTGTTGGCCCAGCCCTGTGCTGAGAAGTGTGCGCTCCTCCCTTCTAGTGCCTGCGAGCCAACACTATCTCTAATTCTCCCTGTTTGGGGAGCAAAGGACCTCAGTTTGCTCAGAGAGACTCAGACTGCCCCAAGTAACCATCTCCAGCGAGGTCTGAGAGCAGCTCTGAGATTCTGGCAGATGGCTGCCATTGGCCAAATGCCCACAGCGGTGGCCACGTCAGGTCCCAGGCTTGGTCCTCACCAGCACACACTGCCGGGTAGGGGGATCCTGCTTAAAGGAGGCAAATAGGGGATTTGTTTGTCGAGGACACTACCCACTTCTGCCCCTGTCCAGGAATTAGGACCTCTGCTTCCACATCTTAGGCATCTTACTCATATTCCCTTTTTAGTGAAGTCAGCTGAGCCCCAAGAAGGGATGGACTGCTTGTGGTTACACTGAGAGTTGGTGCCAGATCCAGGCCCCAAACCTGGGGCTCTCAGCTCCCAGAACATCTCAAGAACCAAGAACCTCACTGTGTGTGTTTCAAGGAAGCATTCTTGGGGCTGGGCATCAGGAGATGTCTGCCATGCAATCGACCTGCGGACA